AGCTATGTTACTGATATGCTTAATGCTAACTTTCAGCAAATACATTCATGTAAAATCTCCGGCTGCTTCAATGCGTAGGATGTTGGTACTGCACTTTGAGTGGAGACTGCTGTAAACGGCTGAGGGGTTTTTTTTGTATCAGCTATGTTACTGATATGCTTAATGCTAAGCTTTCAGCAAATACATTAATGTAAAATCCCCAATTATCCCATCTCTGTTATATCTGTGAGGGTCTCTGTTAACTCTGCAAAAGTAGGACGTCCTTCAGGTTTCTGAAAAGAAAAGCAGAGGATAAATTTATATTAGCAGATTGGTAAATTATAGTACCAGACTTGAGAAGACGGTTACAAGTACCTATGAGCTACCACTTAAAAATTACATTTTATTTTACCAATACAGAAGAAAAGATTGAGTTTATCATTTGAGGGAAAAAAAATCATCAGTTTTTCATGACACCAGCAGTGTAAACGCAGCCACTTCTCCAAGCATTGCTAAAATTTCTTTATGTATTTCAGTTCTGGACCAGAATTCCTATAGGATTTGTCCCCTGCAACGGATCACTGGAAAGCACTACCTCTCAGGAAATTATGATACTCAGGAATGTTTCCTGGGCTGGTGAGAAGGGATCTTCCCTGTTGTATCATTTGATGTATTGCAGCTGAGTGTGGCACAAGCCCCTGGCTGATGGCAGGCAGAAGAGAGAACTTCCCCATCCTCTCTCTGCAGGCTGGTTAAAAGATGGGGGAGAAAGCAGAGATAGGATAAAGGAGGCCATGGTAGCGACAAGGTGGCCCAGATACTTTCAGTGTATGGCTGCCTATTTACCTGAAAGCATTGCACACAAAGCTCTTCTGGAAGTACTTTATATTTAAAATTAAAGTTTCACTTCCTGAGACACTACAGAAGGAAGGACCTTACGGGATTGCTCATATGGAGAAGTTGGTGAAATCTTTGTTTTGATACCAATATAGAAAGAAATAGTGGCTGGAGAAATGGAGAAAGAACCTCAAGCACTAAATCAGAGTGGAGAGGGTGAAAGGGCTGCAGCCTGGGAACTGTAGCGATGTACAGATGTACCCTGTAAAACAGGATGTAAAGTCCACGTTTAGTGGGTATACCTGCTTTGCATATGAATGCCTTCAGGTTATCATTCAGAGCAGAGCTAGAGAAAGCTATGCGTGATGGAGGTGTGAAAAGAGAATTACAATTGATGTCCTAGAGAAGTGACACAATAGTGGCCTACTCAAAACCAGAGATGGTGTAGATCTATTGTATTGATAACGTGCTTTATATTTATTGGATGCAACAGTGAAAAGAAACAGAGGCTTGTAAACTGAGATGAGATTTGTAAAATTGATAGTGAGAGATACAGAGGATGCCACATCTGTGAAATAAACATTTAACGCCTCAGTTTTTGAAGATTCCTTTCTTATCTACATTCCAGATTAATAATAACATAAAGTAATACCACAAGAAAAAAAAAAAAGAAAGAAAAAGGGCAACAAACCTCATGCCAGCAGCTGTACATGACCTTGTACAGGGTATGTGATGCCAAATGGGGTCGATAAAGTCGGTTACCCTGAGAAATCTCACGGACGACTTCAGAATTTGACTTACTTTCAAAAGGCATTTTGCCTTCTGTGAAAACTTCCCACATCAGTACACCTAGAAGTGAACCAAAAAATTTAGGACGAAACAAAACCCCAAGCCCAAAAGCTATTTAATGGCAGTAGAAGCACAAAACCCACTCCTGATTTTTTTGTGGGTTGCAAGAAAATAGAGGCAACCTGAGCTGAACTGACAACCAAAAACATTTTCAACTGATACTATTCTCCTCTTTTAAGTCAGCTAAGATGGTGGTCCATAAAACAGAGATGAATATATGTTTGGTTAATGTACCAAGAATGCATATTTCAGTCAAAATCTAATACTTAGGCACAGAGCCTTTCTATTAAAAACCGTACTCAACCAATACCAAGGTAAGATTTTAAAAATGGGAAGGACTCAAGCTTAAGATAGGTAGTATCAGTAAAAAGTCACACTTTTTAAAAACACATACATAGTTTTAGGGAAGTACAATATGCTGCACGTTTACCTAATCAACTCACCAAATGACCAGACATCTGATTTGCTGCTGTATTTTTTGAAATGGAAGACTTCGGGAGATGACCATTTGACTGGAAACTTTGCACCTGAAGAGCTGATATATTCGTCATCAATGACATACCTGAAGAAAAACAGGAAGCAGCATATATGTTAATGATAGTTAAAGGACAAGCAGCATTGTTCTAGCAACATTCCCATAAAGGGTTTACAATTCCATGAAAATACAGTGTCAATTTAGAAGCAAAGAACATACGAAATGTACACAGATACCCACACTAGAAGCTATGCCCTTAAAAGATTTCTGTTTAAATGAATGATTTGAATTGTCAAGGCCAGGGTGGATGGGGCTTTTAGCAACCCGGTCTGG